AATTTAAAATACAATTTGTTTTTGAGCGAATATATGTCAAAAGTTGACATATAATACGTCATTCTATTTAGAATGTCATTTTCTATCGAATAAAGTAAAAAAATACCGAGGGTGCCATTTAAAAATCAAAAGTTGTAGTCATTTCCGGTGAAACAGGAAGTGACAGAAAACAATTGAATACGTCAATCAATCCTAATTTATGTCATATACTAACATACCAAATCTCATTTTTTTATCTGAAAAAATAAAAAAGTTATAGGGGTGAGCCACTTTTGAGCCGCACCCGGTATACTACCCTTAAAAATATTTGCTCCTATTATTTACTCACCCTGTATATGAATAAAATATGTGCCATGATGGCTCGCATGGAAGATGAAGTATATTCAATATTTATATAATTTATTATAATTTCGAAATTATGTTTTAATATTGTCACTTCACTGTGTCAAAACACCGAATATAATATTATTATTCGGTGGTCAAAATCAGTAAAAATATACTATACAAACACTTAAACCATACTATCTAAAAATAAGTAAAACAACTTTTTGGGTATATCTCAGAAGTGAGCATAAATACATAGCATAAACTTCATAGACAAGAAAGGGGAACAATGGATTACCCTTGTTTGACCCTTTCTGCCGTCTAAATAAACTGTGATTAATTTAACAATTATTTTATTTCATATGCAGAGATCTGGAGTTAATATATTCATATTCATAAACAGATATCACACAGTTCCTCTATCAAGAGCATACCTACGATGGATTCAAGGGTTCTGACAAAAGCAAGACAAATAAACTGGTCTATAGTTCACATATTTTATCTTAGTATGCTTGCTTGTGTTATTTTGTTATGTTCTTAGGTAGTGATAAAAAAATAAAAATTAAAAAATATACTGTGTGTCAAAAAATAATCTATCTAATTTCGGTGGGTGATTCTGTAGATAAAAATAAAACAAAAAGTTCCGAACTTTCTAATTTTTTTTGCGTAAAAACTCATAAACGTGTTTCTGGGGTCGAAATACCGGGTGCGTGTCAAAAGTGGCTCACCCCTGTAACTTTTTTATTTTTTTAGATAAAACAACGAGATTTGGTATGTTAGTATATGACATAAATTGGGATTGATTGACATATTCAACTGTTTTCGGTCACTTCCAGTTTCACCGGAAATGACTACAACTTTTGATGTCAAAAATGATAAACAAAGTATTTTAGGGCATATATTCTTAGGAACTTTTTGCTTTATTTTTATCTGTAGATTTTCCAACCAAAGTTAGATACACAATTTTTTTGACACCCTGTATATTTCAAATGTTTAAATAAATGTGCAAAACATATTAATTTAATTTCACGTCTTCAATCGTATGAAAATAATATTCAAAGATTCAATATAATACCTAGATAAAAATAAAGATACAACCTTTTAAAAGTGGAATAAAAGCCAAACCTATACATAAACAAGTGGAACTAATAAAATAATGTTAAACTATTACAATATAGGATATAGGATTAAATATTTAGTAAAGAGTCAATAATTTTGCTTACTTATTAGGGGAGTTTTCTCCGTTGGTGGCAGAGTTTCCCTGATGGTCATTAAAAACACTGTCATGGACAGCAGCGCGCTAATTCCCAAGGTGACCTTTTCCCCAGATTCTGATGGAACGTAAAACACCAGTAAAGCTGAAAATAAAAGAAAATTCTTTGGTTTAGATCCATTAAATCTAATAAGAATTCATTTTATGTTTGAGCCATGAATATTTCGAAAAAATCCTAATTTTTTTTATGTTAGCTTGTTTTCAAAATTTATTTTATCTTTGTGAGTCGCTGGTAACACTTTAACTGCAGATATTTT